TTAATGAGTTAACGTGAGGTCGGAGCGGGTTAACATCTACGACTAATGCATATTATTTTATAATAGAACTAACATTATAATCTAACTAATCGAAACTATTAATCTAACAAATTTTCTAATATATTGCAAAATTCTATCACGAGCAGTGAAACCTCCTCCAATACAGAATTAACGTTTTTTAAAGGAAACAGTTTTTTGACCACTGAAGAACTATATATTGGCCTGAAAAGTATAATGTTTATCACAAACTATTTTATGTAACAGAATTTTTCTCCATACATCATAAATTGAAACCCAATTTGACAAAGTGTGGAATCAAGGTCTTATGAGAAAATTACGAATACAGTTGCTAGAACAATATTGCGATCTTATAGAATCTTATATAACAAATAGATATTTTCGAGTTAAACAAGAAGACTGCTACTCAAACCTAAAAGCAATTAAAGTGGGTGTCCCACAGGGAAGCGTCCTTGGTCCTATACTCTTTCTTTTGTTTACTAATGATATACCAATAACAGAAAATTGTAAAATTGCGACGTTTGCTGATGGTACAGCTCTAATTTCAATCGGTTCTAATAAATGGAATCAACTAAAACTCTCCAGCTAGCTATTAATAATACTTATGAGTGGACGAAACAATGGCGACTTAAGCTTAACAATACACAATCGGTACATGTTGACTTTACGAATAAAAGGGTCACCCACTGCAAATTAAATATAAATGGACTGGAAATACCGTATACGAATACAGCGAAATACTTAGGCATAACCTCTCTATGGTCATGCCTAAGTATTTGAACTACGTTGGAAAGAGCATGTGAAAAAGAAAAAAAGAACTTAAGCAGATAAAATGGTTAATCGGTAGGCGTTCACAGTTACCGACACAAAATAAACTCCTGATTTACAATCAAATTGTAAAGCCTGTATGGACTTACGGTAATACAGTTATGGGGATGCACCAGTAAGAGCAATGTTATGATAATACACCGTTTCCAAAACAAAGTACTTAGAAATATTGGAAATGCTGTTGCTTTTAGTTTTACAATAAGTTAAAGCAACTGACTCAGCACCCTCTGACATCACTAAGTAATAAAACCTTAGCGTAAATATTTATAATTTATATTTATAACTTATGAAGACTCATAATGAATTTTAGTATCAAAGAAGTATATAAAAAACTTTTTTGATTTCCATTTTATCTAGCCCCATTAAGTCAAATTTTGCATTGGGTTATCAGGACACATACTGGGTTTTTGTATCAAAGAAGCATATAAAAAACTTTCTTATAAATTTACTGGGTTGACATTGTTATATTGTTATTGTGCATCATTCGCAGACCCATTAGTTGTGCCCCGTTCACGAATCTACTAGTTGTGCTAGCTCGTAAGAGCCTTAGTTGTGTCCGTGGCAAGACGCAGAGTCTACTAACACTCATTTGAGCGTATTCATAGAATTAAAAAATCTATGAATGAATTAAATGCCATTTGAATGTACTTGAAAAAATGAGTGTCTTAATTTTAATTATATTTGAAGTTAAAATAATGATGTCAAAATTTGATGAATCCAAAATAATAAAAAATTTATCAATTTAAATTTTTTCATCTCTTAAGAGAAATTCAATAATAAAAATGAAATGAACAAAATTATTTTTAGCTTAATTAAAATCTACTGATTAGAATTCTATGTATATGATGTATACTGACATATACAAATATTTAGCGCATACAAAATTGTCTCCTAAAAGTGATACTTTGAAAGCAATACCAACACTATCGTTAGATTATTTTTTATTAGCACCAAATTAAAATAAAATTTTGAACTTTATTTTGGCAGACAACTACGCGCAGTTTTGGAACCACAAATTCTTATAAAAATATATATGCATATGTGCTATCTGTGTACCCATATGCATAAATTACTAGCCATCATATAAACAATAAACTAAAGAAATTCTTTCAAAATAAATAAACAAAAAAAAAAATTATAATTAAACATAATGAAGCGCTTGTCAGACAACGAACGAAAGCAGGGTTTTTCATAGGCGTTGTTTACTTAGTAAATATTTATATGGTGAATATAGTGACCTCGTGCAAACATGATTAATCATTTTATATTAAAATATTTACTATAAAACAACTAAAATTTTGTTCAATTAACTTCTTAACTTAATTACATCACTTGATTACTGTCTTCACAAACGCAACTTTCATATTTTATTAATTTATTTTTTTTTAATTTATACACATTTACATCTAAATGCATGTACATATGTTATAACATCACATTTCTTTTACTCATTTTTATCAATTCAATAGCATAAGCCACTGCGCATTGAATACCAAAAATTTTGGCATTAAATTGTTCGCTACTGGGAATGGTAATTAAGGGCTCCAAACTGGCGGGAAGCCTTCAATTTAAAACATTTTTATTTGGAAAGTAGCACACAAACAAAACTCAGTGGTAGCACACAGAACCAAAATAAACTTTAATGACGTCATTTGCAGCAAAAATACAAATATGAAATAGTTTCGTGTCTAAAGTCAATATTTTTTTTTTTATTATTAAAGAAAAATTTTGCAAAATGAATTTTTAAGTTTTTATATATCTTAATTGTGAAAGTTATTTATTTACTCACATAATTTACTGGCGGTTGTCCTGGTGGACCGTAGCCGTCCATAGGTTGTCCTGGATTTGGAGCATTGGGATAGCCGGCACCAAATCCGGGTGGCGCATAGCCTCCCTGATTTAGGTTATTCATTGGAATCGACATTTAAGCTTTTTTTTTATAAAATATTAAGTAACTAAAAATAAAACAAATTCCAAACGAATACACAAAACTGCGTCATAGATGGGTGGATCAAATTTATATATATACTTTCTTCTAATCTTTTTCTTTTTACTTTTTATTTATTAAATAATCACATTTCTTAATTACCTTTGTAGCTTCTTTTAACTTAATAATTTATACAATCAACAAGTTTAAATTATTTATTTTTAGCAAAAATATTATGTTCGGTACGCTTCCACTCGCACTAGTTGTTCTGTCTACACTCAACACTTTGTCATTTTTATTTACTTTTTTCAAACGATTGCTCCTCTTGCGTGGTGAAATACTTAATTTGACCATGAATGTTTTCTAAACAGAAACTAGGAGAAAACGTGCGAGAGCAATTGTCAAAAAGTTACCGGCTCTATGTCGCGTTGCCAAGTATTTAAAATATTTTAATATGCTATTGATATAATTACAGAGTATCAATATACGTATATTTATTATAATAACGGATCACAATCCATTATTCGAATATACGAATTTGAAAAACGGAAAATAATCAATATATAATATAATAAAAAAAAAAATTATAGTAGGAATTCTCCTGATGAAGACAAAAGCGAATTTGCCGAGATACTTATGGGAATATACAAAAAATACGATCGAAATAAAAGTTAAAATCCTAAAAAACAAAACTAACTTTAAAACAAATTATACCTTTTATTCATTAAATAATATAAATAATTTTAAACTATTAGACCACTTCTGTTATATTGTGTAGTGTACTTATAGTTATAGTGTACTTCTGTTAAAAATATTATTAAATTTTCCAATTTGCTTTAGCGAATCGTAGAATAAAGATTATCATAACTTTTTTATAATAAGTTCCTAAATAAAGATCTGTAAACAAGAGAGAATCAGAACAATAAAAAAATCTCAAAAAAACAATAGTACTGAAACATAACAATTAATAAAACTATAATAAATTAATTAAATAAACTATAATATAATTAAATAATAAGTAAAACACATGTCAAGTACGTTTTTGATTAAGTTCGTTAGTAAGCACTGACTAATTAAATAGTCATTTAAATGAATTAAATAGGCTGCAAGTTGAAACCTAGTTTTTAGAGACTTAAAAGTTTTTTGCGAATAATTATATATTAAAAATATTTACAAACGAAAAATGACCACTGAGCCAAAGATTCGATAAATTGTGACAAAATTTAGTTGCACTTTTATTGACGAACTAATAACAATTCGTCATAATTGACTTTAAAGATAAAATTACTGTTAAACCTTTTTAATTACATCAAGCGTAGTTACTTAGAAATAATAAAAATTTTCTTAATAGATGTTTTTTATAATTTGGTAAAAATAACTAACAACAGTCATATATTATTTAAAAATTACTATATTTTTCAATCCAAAAACTATTAATATTAGTATTATTATGGTTTTTAATATAAAAGAAGGTGTGGGGAATTAATATAATTGAATGGTGAAATCAATATAATTTTGCAGGGGAATCGTTATCGCTGCCACAAAGTTGAAAATTGTATGAAATCAACAAAGAATCAAAAAACTCAAATAAAAATTATTTATATTTGTGAAAAATATATATAAATATATGTTGTATTATTTAAATTTTAAAATGATAATAAACTAATAATTATATATTAAATAAAGAATATGTACAAAAAATTTATATGTATAAAAACACACATAATAATTTTACAAAATATTGAGGTGAAATACAACATAAAGCAATAAATTTCACACATTGATTCCTCAAAGGTGCTTAAAGCATCGATGCTATTGTGTTTCTTCTGGCATCGATGCCACTATAAGCTACTGGGTACTTACGCTACAATATATATTATTATATTTCGATATTTCATCATTACGGGAAATTATCTATATGCACTAAAAAATTTAATTATGGTAAGATTCATTACAGGTATCTTTGAGGTATATAGAGCTGTAGTAAACCGTGCAATGAATGCATCCTATTATAAATAAATTAAACCAACGAATTGTATCTTTTCTAAAACTTTTATAATTAATTTAAACCATATATATTATTTTAAAAATAATATGGTTACATTTCCTAATAAATTAGTTTAAGCACCCTATCTCTATTATCAATTTAATATTGAAATTGCCTCAAGAAGCAGGCTTGTTGTTTAAATTTAAAAAACTTTTTTTATGTTTTATGTTTATAAAAATATTAATATTATACGATAAACTTCTATTTTTGAATCTTTTATTAAAGTTACGTTGGTGTGCAGTAGTATTTAAAAGGAGTTGCACGGTAACAACCCTGTTGTTGTTAAATGTATTTACCGGCATTAGCCCATTTGATGCTAACACGTATTGGCTTAAATCAATTGTTGATATAATTTTAACTTTCAAATCAATTAGTTTGTTTTTTATAACGGAAGAGAGTAAGTCGCGTAAATGATTTTATTTTATTAAAATTGAAATTATAAAATAATTGTGGATGTGAATGTTTTACATAATTTCCTAACTGATTTGTTAGCATGTGTAGATAATAGAGCACTACCCTTTCCCCTCTAATATTGTTTAACATAAAAAAAATTGACATTATCTATTTTAAATCCCAACTGTTTTAATAATACAATCATTTATATGTTTTCTTATCATTTTTAAAGAGTTGCACGTATATCGTTTTTGTTTTTCTACAAAATTTAGTGTGCGTGGCGTTTGAATAAAGTTGGTGTGTTTTATTTATTTTGGCTATATACATTGTATTATAAATAAGAAAAATTAACATATTTATAGTTATGATATTTACATTTATTTCAGTAAAATGGAATTAAGGAAAAGCATACCATTACTGATACTTTTAGCAGTTAACGTTTTTGCTCTTGCGACAGAAGATGATGGTTATTGTCATTCATTTGCAGGTGGTTCAGTTTATCCAGCTGGAGCACCAAAAGGTGATCACAAATTACAAACTACAAAAGCAGTTAGTAAGTAAAATGCATTGACTCTTATTTATGCTACTTTTAGTTTAATGTAATATATTTTCTTATAGTTTCGAAACCCGCCCCACATTTTGAAGGCACAGCTGTGGTTAATAAAGAAATTGTACAATTATCGCTTTCACAATTTGCTGGCAAATACGTAGTGCTATTATTCTACCCACTTGATTTGTAAGGAAAATATACATTATGTATTTTTTTTCATTATATATTTTTATTTACTTCTTACTTTTCTAAAAAATTGTAATGGTCTGTTTAAATTAAGACTTCAAAGAGTTCAAACAACATATTGCTCGACTAGTGCGAGTACATATGTTTACTCGAATATGAACATGTGGATGAAACACACCAAATGTTCGGAAATTTGAGCTACTTGAACAGAATTTTATTTCGTTATGTATTTTGTATAAACACGCATTACAGTAATTGTTTCAATTTACATATATATAACATATTCAAACGGTTCCAAAGTAAATGCTGAATGGTTAAAGCTTTTAACAATTCGAGTTCCTACCTATCCCAAATTGATTCTTACACCTAAACAATCTCTTACACTATCATCACCTATCCACATACTAACCTCCAGCAACAACAACAATTTTAATAGACTAGTATAATGCTATGAAAATTATTTTCTTTAGGTTAAATGTAAATAGCATTTCCATTAAATAGAAATATATTTCATTCATTTATTTAAAAAAAAAATTATTTATTTTCAGCACCTTTGTTTGTCCCACCGAAATCATTGCATTTTCAGATCGTGTTGAAGAATTCCGTAAAATAAATACTGAGGTGATAGCTTGTAGTGTCGATTCACACTTTACGCATTTAGCTTGGATTAATACACCACGTAAAGAAGGTGGCTTAGGAAATGTGAAAATACCATTACTCGCAGACTTGACACACAAGATCAGTAAGGACTATGGTGTATACTTGGATGACTTAGGCCATACGTTACGTGGGCTTTTCATTATTGATCATCGTGGTGTTTTGCGACAAATAACAATGAATGATTTACCTGTGGGACGTTCAGTAGATGAAACAATACGTTTGGTACAAGCATTCCAATATACAGACACACATGGTGAAGTATGCCCAGCTGGTTGGAAACCTGGCGCTGATACAGTAAGCGAAATTTTTATTCAAATATTTTTTTGTTATTCATATATTAATTATTCTTTTCGTTTTTTTAGATTGTACCAAATCCGAAAGAGAAAACAAAGTATTTTGAGAAGAATAATTAAATTTACAAGTGAACACAGAGTACTTCTATTTTTTAGTAGTTTTTTCAAATTTGAGATTTTTTTAAACATATAATAAACCATGACTTATATAAAATAACAAATTTTTTTTTTGGATTACTTATTACGTTTAGTTGAGCTACTACTGGCAGCTGTATCTGCGCCTCTTTTACGTTTATTAAGCGGATTTCGTGGATCGTATGCATCATACCAATCATCATTCTTTGTCGATGCATCTTTAGCCAACACAGGTATAGCTGCTTCTTCAGATGTTAACTTGTGTCCCAACCAATCATTACCTTCTATTTCTGTTGCTACTGGCACATCATCTTTTACGTCAGGAGCCTGTTCCTCCTCTTCCTGCTGGTTATGTCTTTTGTTTACTAATTTGTTTTGAAATTGTTTGAACAAACTTAACGTAAAATCTTCCCTGAAACGAAAATGAACAATAATTTTTATCGAAGATAGAACGAATTGGGGCAATTCTGGCAAAGACGGGTAAAAAAGTCTTTCGATGTTTAAAAGATAGAATGAAAGACGGTTTGAAACATTTTTTCTATTCTGGCACAAGTCTTTTAAAAAAAGTTTTATCATTTGTAATTCGTTGTAAATAATCTGTTTTGTGCTATTGCTTTAGTAGAGAAATCAAAAACAGCTGTCAATCGGTATCGCATCCAACTAGAAAATAAATTTGAATACAAAAGTGATGAAGAGCCGCAAGCTTTATGTTTCATTATTATTTATACATAAATAAACTATATATATTCTATAACTAATTAATTTTCTTTTTGTTGTGCTACTGCTGCACTCAATGTAGCAATAGCTGTGGCCATTTCTTTTATCACGTCAGACAAATTTGAGAAAGCTTCAACAATTCGCTCATCCATGCGTTGACGCTGCACCATAGATTCATGTAAAAGATTTCTCAATCCTATATTTGAATTCTTCAGTTTTCGTTTTCGTTTTACAACAGGCGACGATAAAGGAACCGGCGATATCACTTTTTCCAAATTCTCTGATTTTGACTGCGGCATTGTATTATTGTTTGGTGTTGTTTGCAGCATTGTGTTGTTTGACTGCGTAACTATATCAATTGTAGCGTCTTGCTGTGTCTGTATTGTTGGAAGCAAACTATTTTGGTCCTGCATAAAAAGGGATAATGATACATTTCAATCATTTCAACTAAAAGAATGTCAATCATATACTTCAAAACCCAAAGTAGCAACTTTCTCACGCCCAGGTACACCTGCTACACCGAACACTGCCACTGCTCTTTCTTCCAGGTCACTCAAAGTGCCTGCGGTTGGTTGTCCTTCAACACTCGCTTCTTTTTGAAATGCTAGACGGCGTGCACGGGAGCGTACCATATTTTTCCAGTGGGTTAGCGTCTGAAAATTTAGTAAGCATTATCTACTTACAACGAACGTTTTATTTTGAAAATATCGAAATACTTACTTCCCTCCATTGCGTAGCTGTTTTAGTGGGGCCTCTCATTGCATTCAAGAGGTCAGCCAGTTCATCCCACAGCGCTTGAATGCCTTTCGGTGAACGCGAATTATTTCGCCCAATAGGTATATGTGGATTGGCTTCACAGAACTCTACAAAACACTTAAGCTGTGCTGGTGTACTTCGCCCTGATATTTTTTTTCTAAAAGAAATAATAATTTTTTAGTTTCAAAACTAATTGTATATGTATAATTACACGATAATTACACTTACACCTTACGGTTTTCCATCACTTCTAAATTCAAATAAATTGTTAACTTAAAATTCACTTTAAAATAGTAATATTTACACTTTTATCTTAAGGTTTACTAACAATTTTAAATTCAAATTAAATTGTTCAGTTAGTTGCGGTAGCGATTAACAGCTGTTTCTGATTTCCCCACGAAAGCAATACCACAAAACAGCTTTTTACCACGAATTACAAATACAACTTTTTTTGAAAGACCTTAG